TCTACTTCGACCTCGGCACCTTCGCCCTCGCCTTCCTCGGCCTCTACCCCTGGCGGCCCCGGAAGAAGAAGCCGGCGGCGAAGGCGAAGGCGGAGACGCCGGCGAAGCCTGCGGCGGAGCGGGCGGCGAAGCCCAAGGCGGCCTAGGCGCGCCGTTAAAAAAACCGACGTCAGAACCGCATGCCGCCGAGGCAGAGGTACTTGTCCTCGAGGTACTCGTCGATGCCGTGCGCGCCGCCCTCGCGGCCGAGGCCCGACTCCTTGACGCCGCCGAAGGGCATCGCCGGGTTCGACACGCCGCCCTCGTTGACGCCGACGATGCCGAACTCGAGGCGCTCCGCGACGGCCCAGGCGTGGGCGAGGTCGCCGCAGCAGTAGGCCGCGAGGCCCGCGGGCCCGTCGTTCGCGAGCGCGACGGCCTCCGCGTCCGTCTCGAAGGTCCGGAGCGGCACGACGGGGCCGAAGGTCTCGTCGACCCAGAGCGCGCTGTCCAGGGGCACGTCGGCGACGATCGTCGGCGGGTAGAACGCGTCCCGGAGGCCCGGGAGGGGCCACGCGCCGCCGACGAGCGTCCGCCCGCCCGACGCGCGCACGCGCGCGTCGACCTTGGCCGCGGCCGCCGGGTTGATCAAGGGCCCGATCATCGTGCCGTCGTCGAAGCCGTGGCCCACGGGCAGGGCCGCGATGCGACGCTCGAGCGCGTCGACGAAGGCGTCGACTTTGGACGCGTGCACCAGAAACCGGTCCGCGCCTGCGTGGCCATCGACCGGTGAGCCGGGACGTCGGGGCCGAACTTCAGAAGTCGATTTGGCTGGTTTTGGGGACGAGTCGTGTGCTCTCGTCGAGCGCTCGAAGCGCGGCCGAAGAGTCTGGTCCGACCGTTCGACGACGCGCGCCTTGAAGAGTCTGGTCCAAACCGTTCGACGACGCGCACGTTGAAGTCGGGTCGAGGATGCGAGGTCCGCGCCGGTCCGCGCAGACGCACGTCTGCCCCGCGTTGCGGAACTTGGTCGTCATCGCCGCGTCCGCGGCGACGTCGACGTCGGCGCTCTCGAGCACGAGGAACGGCGCGTTGCCGCCGAGCTCGAGGGACAGCACCTTGACCGTCTCCGCGCAGCGGCGGTAGAGCCACTTGCCGACGGCCGTCGACCCCGTGAAGCTCAGCGCGCGGACCTCCGGCGCGTCGCAGAGCGCGGCGCCCACGGGCTCCGCGTGGTCCCGCGACGACGCCAGCACGTTGAGCACGCCCGCGGGGAAGAGGCCGTCGGCGAGGCGCGCGAGCGCGAGCGCCGAGAGCGGCGTGTCCTCCGACGGCTTCACGACGACGGGGCAGCCCGCGGCGACCTGGGCCCCGGGAGACGGGCGATTCGACGCGGGCGTTCCGCGCGCGCGCGTTTCAAAAAACTCATCCACGCTTCGAGACCGTTCCGAGAGATGATCGCTCGTCCAAAAATGGAGTGGAAAGCGACCGAGGTAGGAGCCTTTCGGAAGTTCGCGCGCTCTTTTCCCGCCCCGGCGGCGACGGCCGGCGCGACCTTGCGCGTGATCATGGCCACGGGGAAGTTCCAGGGCGTGATGGCCGCGCAGACGCCCACGGGCTGGCGCACGGTCAGGAGCCGCCGGTCGGAGCCCGCGTTCGCCTTGACCTCGCCCGCGACGCGCGGCGCCTCCTCGGCGAACCACTCGACGAACGACCTGGGCAGCACAAGGGTGATTCAACCTCGCTTCAACTTGGGTGTTTCGCGCGCGAGAGTTCCAGGAAAAGCATCCACGCTTCGAAACCGTTCCGAGAGATGATCGCTCGTCCAAAAATCAGCCAAAACGAGTGGAAAACGGCCGAGATAGGAGCCTTTGAAGTTGGGAATTTCGCTCTCTTGTGCTGCCCTGCGAACGACGCGCCGTAGGCGACCTCGCCGCGCGCCTCGGCGAGGGGCTTGCCGCACTCGGCCGTCATCAGCGTCGCGATGTCCTCCGACGCGGCCAGGATGCGCCGGTGCCACTCGCGGAGCGCGTCGCTCCGCTCGCGAGCCGTCGTTCCGGCCCACGCGGGCAGCGCGGCCGCGGCCGCGTCGACGGCGGCGCGCGCCTGCTCCGGCCCGCAGTCCGCGACGTCGCAGATGGGCGCGCCGCTGCCCGGGTCGACGACGGCGAAGGTGCGCGCCGTTCGGACCCAGGCGCCGCCGACGAGCGCCGAGGCCTCGTTGGCGGCGTCGACGACGCGCAAGTCCGCGAGCGCGCTCGACGTGCTGGCGCAGCGCGTCAGCGCGTTTTTTAGAGCGTTCGTGCAGCGTATGGTCTTCGTGCAGCGCTGGAACGCGGATTGCATGGATGTGGTGTGGCGCATCGCTCCTCGGAATGGCCTGCAACGGAGGCTGCATTCGATGCCGCCAAAAGTCGAAGCTGACCGAATTGCCACAAACGAGAACGGAGGAAAGCAAGCCATGCGCGCCGCCCTGGCCCGCCGCGCCGTGCTGGCCCGCCCCGCGCCGTCGGCGGCGGCGACGCGCTCGCGCAGCGCCCAGGCCCTCGAGGCGCCCTACGTCGAAGAGACCTACGTCGCGCTCGACCGGGACCGGCGCCACGCGGCGCCCGTCGCCTTCGCGGAGTCCTACGCGGCGCCGGCCTTCGGCCGCATCTCGACGGGGGACCAGTACGTGGCGTCGCTCCGCGGGCGGGACCTGCCCGTCTACCTCTTCGGCGAGAATATCGACGAGTTCGTCGACCACCCCATCGTCTGGCCCTCGGTCAACGCCGTCGCGGAGACGTACCGGCTCGCGGAGCGCGAGCCCGAACTCGCGACGGTCTACAGCTCGCTCATCGGCGGGCGCGTGCACCGCTTCGCCCACATCTGCGAGAGCGCCGAGGACGTCGTCGCCCAGAACCGCATGCAGCGGAAGATGGGCCAGCTCACGGGCGCGTGCTTCCAGCGGTGCGTCGGCCAGGACTGCATGAACGCGTCGTGGACGACGACGCACCTCATCGACGCGGCCCACGGCACGGCCTACCAGGCGCGCCTCAAGGCCTTCGTCCAGCACGTCCAGTCCTACAACCTGACGGTCGGGGGCGCGATGACGGACCCCAAGGGCGACCGGTCGAAGCCGCCGCACGCGCAGGAGGACCCGGACATGTTCGTGCGCGTCGTCGACCGCAGGCCCGACGGCGTCGTCCTCCGGGGCGCCAAGGTCCACCAGACGGGGACGCTGAACTCGCACTGGATGGTCGTCATGCCCGGCCAGCGGCTCGCTGTGCCGAAACCAACCACTGGTTTGGGTGGTCCTGACCAAACTTGAGAATTCTCTAGCTCGGTCAAATCGAAGTCGATTCGGCTGATTTTTGGACGAATCGATTGCTCTCGTCGAGTTCTCGAAGCACGGCCGAAGAGCTTGTGTCAAAACATTCGAATGCGCTCACATTGAAGTCGGGTTGAAGATTTGGTTTCGGCACAGGCGGCTCGCCCCCGCGGACGCGGACTACGCGATCTCCGCGGCGATCCCCGTCGACGACCCCCGCGTGTCCTACATCCTGGGGCGCCAGTCCTGCGACACGCGGTCCATGGAGCCGTCGGGCGTCGACGTGGGCAACGCCAAGTTCGGCGGCCAGGAGGTCACCGTCGTCCTGGACGACGTCTTCGTGCCCTACGACCGCGTCTTCATGGACGGCGAGACGGAGTTCGCCGCGGATCTGGTGGAGCGCTTCACGGCCTACCACCGGCGGTCCTACGTCTGCAAGGCCGGCGTCGGCGACGTGCTCATCGGCGCGGCGGCGGAGATCGCGGACATGAACGGCGTCGCCAAGGCGTCGCACATCAAGGACAAGCTCATCGAGATGACCCACCTGAACGAGACCATCTTCGGCATGGGCATCGCCGCGTCCATGTCGGCGAAGCCCACGCCCGCGGGCAACTACGAGCCCGACGTGCTCCTGGCGAACATCTGCAAGCACCACGTCACGCGGTTCCCCTACGAGATCGCGCGCCTCGCCCAGGACCTCGCGGGGGGCGTCGTCGTGACCATGCCCTCCGACGACGACTTCAACAGCGAGGAGATCGGCGCGATCCTCAAGAAGTACCTCTGCGCGGCGCCGGGCGTCGACCCGGACGACCGGCGGCGCGTGCTCCGGCTCATCGAGAACATGACCATGGGCCGCAACGCCGTCGGCTACCTCGCCGAGTCCATGCACGGCGCGGGCTCGCCCGCGGCCCAGCGCGTCCTCATCCAGAAGCTCGGCCAGATCGCGGAGAAGCGCGGCTACGCGCGCGACATCGCGGGCTGCGGCGGCGCCTGCTCCAAGGTCTAGTCGGGCTCTTCCTGTCGTCTAACCTGCTTGTTTTTTTTGTTCTTCTTGCCCAGGGGCTCTTCGGTGCGACGGCCGCGCGTAAGCCGCGCGCGTCCAGCGCGACTGCATCATCGACACGTTGACTCGCCGTCACACCAAAACAGCGATTTGCACGCACAAAAATGGCCGGTCTCACGCTCCCCGGCGGCCTGGCGTCCGACGAGTTCGGCGTCGCGCTGAGCTACGCGCTGCTCATGGGCGGCGGCGCCTCCGCGCCGGCCGCCGCGCCGGCGAAGAAGGAGAAGAAGGAGAAGGCGCCGAAGCAGCCCAAGGCGCCCAAGGCCGCGCCCGCGCCCGCGCCCGCGCCCGCGCCCAAGGCCGCGCCCGCGCCGGCGCCCAAGGCCGCGGAGCCCGCCGCCGAGGACGACGACGACGACTTCTGGGGCGACGACGAGGAGCAGACCGAGGAGGAGAAGGCCGCGGCCGCCAAAAAGCTCGAGGAGGCCAAGGCCAAGGCCATGGCCAAGCTCGCGAAGAAGGAGGTCGCCCAGCGGTCGCTCTGCGCGCTCGAGATCAAGCCCTGGGAGGCGGAGCAGGACCTCGAGGAGCTCTTCAAGAAGATCAAGTCCACCTTCGTCCGCGAGGGCCTCAAGTGGTCCGAGGTCTGCAAGCTCGAGGACGTCGCCTTCGGCGTCAAGAAGATCATCTGCACGGCCGTCATCAACCAGACCATGTCCATGGACGCCATCATCGAGGAGATCACCGAGGAGGCCTTCGCCGACGAGGTCCAGTCCATGACCATGACGAGCATGTCGCTCCTCTAGGCGCGCGGCGCCGGGGACGCCGCGCCGAGCTAACACGCGACACTATCTCGAGGGGGCCACGTCGCGTGCCACCCGCGCGCCGCCTTGGTCTTCTGCGGCTCTTGAGATCCCCTGCGGCCTCGCGCCGCGGGCGGCGCGGTCGCGAGCGGTCTCGCGGTCTCGCGCCGCGGCGATCGCGCGCGGTGGATGTCGAAGCAGCGGATGTCGCCGCAGAAGCGTGTAACAAGCCACACAGTCGCGGAAAGGCCGCACGACGCGAATCCCACGCCCGGCGGGAGAGGCGTCGGAAGGCGTGCGGTCGCTGAAACGCGTGAACTGGCAGATCTCGAGCCTCGCTTCACGCAGAAGCAAGTCGTGCGACGGCTTGACGATGGAGTCCGCGGGGGTCCCCGAGGAGACACCGGCGCCGGCGCCGTCGCCCGTGCGCACGCGGCCGAAGCTGAACCTGAAGAAGCGGGACCCCGCCGCCGCCGCCGCCGCGGCGTCGTCGATGGCCCCGTCGTCGGGCAAGCCCAACCCCTTCGGCGCCGCCCGCCCCCGCGAGGAGACGCTCAAGGCCAAGGGCGTCGACGCGGGCGCCCAGGACACGGAGCGGGAGCGCAAGATGCAGGCCATGAAGAACCTGAGCCGCTTCCAGAAGCAGGACGCCGACGAGCTCGCGGACGTCGTGCGCCGCGCGGAGGAGGCGCTCCGCGAGGCCAACGAGAAGGAGCTCCCGGAGAACGCGCTCCGCGCGGACCTCGAGGAGAAGCGCAAGAAGCTCAGCGACCTCATGGAGAAGTTCGCCAAGATCAACATCGAGGAGGCCGAGGCCAAGGCCGCGGGGAAACCGCCGCCGGGCGTCGCCCGGTCCCACTCCGGCTCCGTCGACAAGGCCTGAGCGAGGAGACCCGCGGGAGACCTGCGGGAGAGGTCGCGCGCCCGCGGGGACGAAGCCCTCTCCCGCCGGCGGACCCCTCGTAATTCATCGCGCTTCAACTCTTACGGGCTTGGGGGGGAGGGGGGGCGAGGCGCGCGGGGCGTGCGGCTTCTCAGAGGCCGAGGTGGGCGACGAGGCGCTCCTTGAGGGCGGCCTTGAGGCCCGCCTGGTCGAGGTCGCGGTCGCCGAGCGCGGCCTTGAGCTTGGCGACGGTCATGGCGTCGATGTCCGCGAGCGTCAACGACGACGCGGCGTCCGCCGGCGCGGCGCTCTCGTCGGCCGGGGCGTCCGACGGCGGCGGGGCGTCGCCCTCGGGCGCGGCGTCCGGCGGCGCGTCGTCCTCCTCCTTGGCCGCGGCGGCGTCGTCCTCGGCCGCGGGCGACGCGGAGCGGCTCCGGGAGCTGCTCCGCGACCGGCGGCGGCCCTCGGGCGACCGGCTCCGGGACCGGGAGCGGCTCGCGCTCCGGTCCTTGCGGCGGCGCCGCTCGCGGGACCGCGACCGCGACCGCGAAGCGGACCGCCGCGGCACCGGCACGCCGTAGCCGCCGCCGCCGTAGCCGCCGCCGCCGCCGCCGCCGCCGTAGCCGCCGCCGCCGTAGGAGCCGCCGCCGTAGGAGCCGCCGCCGTAGGAGCCGCCGCCGTAGGAGCCGCCGCCGTAGGAGCCGCCGCCGCCGCCGTAGCCGAGGCGCGCGGCGCGCTGCGGGCAGTCGCGGCCGAAGTGGCCGACCTGCCCGCACTCGTAGCACGCGTCGCTCCCCCGGGGGCCCGCGTTGGGGTCGCCGTTCGGGTCGTGGGCGTAGCGGCAGGAGTCGCCCCTCGTGCACCGCCCGTTGAGGAAGTCGCGGCAGACCTGGCCGCCGCCGCCGCCGTAGCCGCCGCCGCCGCCGTAGCCGCCGCCGCCGCCGTAGCCGCCGCCCCCGTAGGACTGGCCGCCGTAGCCCCCGCCGGAGCCCCCGCCGCTGTCGCCGTGGCTGAACTTGCACGAGTCGCCCCGATTGCAGTTGCCGCGCTGGAAGTCAAAGCAGGGCTCCTGCGAGCGGCCGTAGCCGCCGCCGCCGCCGTACCCGCCGTAGCCGCCGCCGCCGCCGTAGCCGCCGCCGCCGTAGCCGCCGCCGCCGTAGCCGCTGTATTGGGCGTAGCCCTGGGGTAGCGACGACGACTCGTTTCCGTAGTGCGACATCTGCGATCGCGGGGGCGTCAGAACCGCAACGCGGGCGGAGCAGTTCGAGGTCGCCGAACGACCGACCGCGCGCGCGCGCGGCGCTTTAGGGGGCGCTCCGAGGTGCGCGCTCGCCACTGCAGTATCGGGTCTCGGCAGGTCGGAGTGGGGCGGGACGGTCTCAGTGCGTGGTCTTCGCAACGTCGTCTCGCGTCTCTTCAACTACGCGGCGGCTTGGCGGCGAGCGAACGACTCTCAGAGCGAGGCGCGAAGTGCGAAGAAGCCCCCGAGAAGGTACGACAGCCACGCAGCGCGCACAGTTGCGGGTAGAGCTCGTGTGCGTCACAAGCTTCGGATGCTGACCGCCTCAGCCTCGGCGATGGACCTGCAACAGGTTCTCACACTGGTGCCAGCAGCCGCCGATACCCGATCGATCGAGCCGCCGATCGAGTCCTCGATCGACAACCTGCGCCGCCACGGCGCCCTAGGTAGGCCTTGCCCATGAACGCCACCCCGCGACGACATCGCGAGCTTACGCCGCACACACGCCGCCTCAGATGGACCAGACGACGGACGACTCGCGGAGGTGCTGGTAGCCGCTCCGCGTGGGGACGATTTCCTGGAGGATGTGGCAGTGGCGGAACTCGTCGTCCGCGTGGGGCGCGGCGAAGTGGGCGGGCGTCCAGGACATGATGAGGAGCTGGTCGTGCTGGCGCGCGAGCTTCTCCATGGCGTGCTTCGCCTCGGTCCAGTCGTGGTCGAGCGAGCCCGACTGGAGCGCGTCGAGTCGGTTCTGCGCCTTCCGCGCCGCGGACCACCAGTGGTTCCGCTTGTTCTCGCGCCAGGCGGTCAGGTCCCGCAGGTCGTACTGGACGAGCCAGCCGTCGGCGTCGTCGGCGCGGTGCGGGAGCGCCGCGCGCCAGGGCAGCACGCGCGACGGCGGCGGGTCGAGCGTCCGATTCCGCAGCGCGAGGCCGAGGCTCTCGTGGGCCGCGGTGACGTTGAAGGTCTCCTCGTAGAGGTAGGGCGTCGACGCGTGGGCCGTGAGGCCGAAGGTCGCGGCCTCGTAGAAGCGCCGCGGCAGGCGCGCGTGGCCCCGTTCCCCGGAGACCTTGTGGCCGTGCTTGAAGACCAGCTCGTCGGTCGTCGTCCGCCGCCGCGGCGACTCGTCGTCGTCGGCCCAGGAGAAGCCGTCCTCCGGCAGCTCGTCCACGTTCGGCTCCGGCGGCGCGGCCGCGGCGTCGCCGGCCCACATGGCCGCGCCCGAGACGTCGACGAAGTGCGTCGCGCGCGTCCACGCGCTCCGCATGGACCGCTGGTCCGCGTGGCGGTGCACCGTCCGCTGGGGCGGGAAGTTGCTCAGGGCCAGGCGCGGCTTGCGGTAGTTCGGGTGGGCGACGCCGGCGTACCAGACGCTGTAGCCCGCGACGAGCGCCGACAGGAGTAAGGTGCCCGCGCCGGCCTCCTTGACGGCGGCCAGGACCGTGTCCTCGGGCAGCTCGATGTCCTCGTCGTCGCTGTCCTCGCCGCCGAGGAGCGGCGCGTCGTCGCCGTCGTCGTGTTTGTCCGGCGCGGGCTCCATGCGGGTCCGGTGGGGCTGCTCCGCGTCGGAGTTGCCGAGAAGCTTTGGCGCTCTCTCACCATTGACGCCGTCCGCGGCGTCTCGCGCGCATTTGAAACGATTGATAACCCGCGGCGGCCCACGCGGCGGCCGCGCAGCGCGAGCGCGGCGTCCGTCGACGCGGCGCAGACCGCCGACGCCATGGAGTCCGCGGTCAAGGGCGCCTGGCAGCCGGAGGAGGACAACAAGGTCATCGAGCTCGTCTCCAAGCTCGGCGCGAAGAAGTGGAGCACCATCGCGTCGCACCTGCCCGGCCGCATCGGCAAGCAGTGCCGGGAGCGCTGGCACAACCACCTGAACCCCGCGCGGCCGCGGCGCCGGAGGCGATCGCGCGCGCGCGACGCGCGCGATATTCGAACGCCCGCCCTTTTCAAAATCGGCCGCCGCGCGGCGCGCCGACGGGAGTTTCGGCGGCGCGGGGCGCCGGCGTTCGCATCGCTCGGATCGGTCGCGCGGGGCGCCGCCGCGACATGCGCGCGACGTCGCCGCGGCGCGCGCGCGGCGTTCGAATCGCGCGACACGCCGCGTCGCGTCGCGCAGGCCATCTCCAAGTCGCCCTGGACCGTGGAGGAGGACCGCACGATCCTCGTCGAGCACGCGCGCGTCGGGAACAAGTGGGCGGAGATCGCGTCGAAGCTGCGCGCGGCCCGCGCGGGCGCGTCGCGAGCGGCGCTTTTTCCTTCCCTCGACGGCGTCGCGCGCGCAGGCCCGGCCGCACGGACAACGCGATCAAGAACCACTGGAACTCGTCGATGAAGCGCAAGGTCCAGAAGTACCTCGCGTCGCGGGGCTACGCCGACGCGCCCGGCGACGACCACCGCTTCGACTTGCGCGGCGAGGTCGAGGGGTGCCTCGGGGCGCTCCGCGCCGCGGCCGCGGCGACCGCGGCCGCGGCGCCGGGCCGCACGCCCGAGGCGCCGCCGCGGGCGCCCCACGCGCCGCCGGCGAGCCGCCCGGCGACGCGGCAGCGCGCGGCCGCGCCCGCGGCGGCGCTCGCCGACGGCGGCGGCGGCGGCCTCGGCGCGCTCGCGGCCGCGCTCGACGAGCCCGCGGCGGCGCCGCCGCCGCTGACGAGCGCCCGCGCGCCGCCGCGCAAGCGGAAGCGCGGCGACGCGGCGGCGCCGGAGCCCGACGGCGCGGCGCCCGGCGAGCGGCGCGGCGTCGTCATGACCAAGGCGGAGATCCGGCGCGCGAACGCGCTCCGGGGCCTCGCCGCGTCGCCGACGAAGCCCCGCGCCTGCGACGACGCGCCGCCGGCGTCGCCCCTGAGCTCGCTCGCCGTCGCGGCGACGGCGACGCCGGGCGAGCTCGACGACCTCTTCGCGAGCCCGTTCAAGGGCGACTTCAAGTTCATGGCCGGCCGCTTCTCGTCGGTCCTCGGCACGCCCAACTCGAAGCAGAACACGCCCCGCGTCGGCGCCTCCGCGTCCGGCGGCGTCGGCGACTTCTCCCCGCTCTTCCCCCTCGCCGGCGGCGTCGGCTTCAGCCCCGCGCGCCACGCCAACGTCCACAAGATGCCCCTCATCTGAGGGCGTCCACGGACGACGCGCCCCGCCGGGTCCCGTAACGGACCGCCTCGCAGAAGCCTAGGCCGGCGCGCGGCGGCGGCCTAGGGTCGCTTGTTCGCGATGTCGAGCGCGCCCTCGAGGAGCCCCCCCACGGTCGCGCCCGCCGGCGCGTTGACGACCTTGCCCAGGAGGTAGCAGTCCGGGGGCTCGATGCGCTTGTAGTAGCCCTCGATCTTGCCGACCTTCTCGAAGCCGTGCCGCGCGTAGAAGTCGAGCGCCGCGTCGTTGTTCGTCTGCACGTGCAGGTAGACGACGCGCACGTCGTCGCGCTTCGCCGCGTTGTCCATGAGGTAGTCGAGGAGCTTGCGCCCGACGCCCCGGCGCCGGTACGCGTGGAGCACGCCGATCGTCATGATGTAGAGCCGCTTGCCGGACGCGTCGCCGTCGGCGGGCTCGAGGCGCCCGCAGATGGCGCCGATGGCGAAGCCCCCAAAGTAGGCGAACTGCGCGAAGTCCGTCTGGAGCGTCGGGATCTCGCCGTAGAACTTGTCCGCGTAGCGCACGGGGAACGTCGACTCGTTTAATTTCCGCAGCAGCCCGATGTTCTGCGCGTGGATGTCGCCGAACTCGACGGCCAGCGGCGCCAGCTCCGGCGACGCCATGGGTCGTATTGGTGGCTCGTCCGGCCGGCGCTGGCGGCGACGCGAGGGGACGGACGAGGAGATGGCCGCCGGCGAGCTCTCGAGCTTGCCCCAGGCCCTGGCCAGGGGGCACCATTCAAGTTGTCGTTCAAGTTAGCCGTCCGGGTAGAGGATCTTGTCGACGACGTGGATGATGGTGCCGCCGGCGCACTTGATGTTGGACTTGACGATGCGCGCCTGGCGCGGCGGCTTGGAGTCGCTGTCGAGCCACATGGCGCAGACGCCGCGCGTGTCGAAGCGGAAGCGGAGCGCGTGGCGGAGGTCGCGGTGCCGCGGCTGCACCCTGGCCTGGTCCGACAGGTCGGAGACGACGTAGGGCCCGTCGACGATGTGGACGCCCCAGCACTCGTGCTCGAAGGCCTCCTCCGCGGGCAGGCCGAGGAACGCGCCGTCGTTCGGCACGAAGACCGTGACGCCGTCCAAATCCGGGTCGTGCTCGAGCACGGCCTGGAGGAACTTGCCGCAGCGCTTCAGCCCGCGGATCGTCTCCACGGGCGACAGGATGGTGCCGAAGACGCGGCGCCGCTCGAGGCGCCGCACGCGCGAGCTGTGGATCGTCTCGATGCGCTCCGTGAACCGCTCCTGGGCAGGAAAAGGGTGCGAAATTCCCAACTTCAAAGGCTCCTATCTCGGTCGTTTTCCGCTCGTTTCGGCTGATTTCTGGACGAGCGATCATCTCTCGGAGCGCTCTCGAAGCGTGGGTGCTGTTTCCGAAACGCGCGCGCGCGGAACACTCAAATTGAAGCGACGTTGAATCACCCTTTTCCTGCCCTGAACCGCTCCGCGGTCCGCACCGCCGTCGACAGCTCCTCGCGGTAGTCGTCGGTCAGGGAGCTCATGCGGTGCATGGACCGGCACAGCTTCTCCGCGCGGTCGATGGCCGACACCGCGCGCGCCGCGGCGTCGCGCGTGCCGCCGGGGTCTTCGGCCGGCTCCGGCGGCGCGCCGTCGTCGCCGCCGTCGTCGCCGCCGTCGTCGAAGGTCCGCCGCAGCGCGCGGAGCACGGTCATGACGCGCTTCTCGAGCTGCGAGGGCATATGACGTCGCGCACAAGGCGGGGGACGGGCTCTCTCTCTCTCGAAAGAAGTCGCGCGCTCGGACTCGCCTTTTATCATCTCGTCACCGGACGGTCCCCGGCCGGCCCCGCGGGGAGCCCGCGGCGGGCCGGCGCCGGTACGCGCCTCGGGAGTATCCGATCGCTCTCGTCATCGCGCGCCGCGGACGACCACAAAAGGGGACGCGGGGCGCCGCGCGGCCTCGGGCGGCGTCCGCGGCCTTCGCGCGGCCGCGCGCTCCTCGCGCTTCTGCGTGCGCCACTGGCGCGCCGCGGCCATGCGCCGCGCCTTCTCGCGCCGCGCGCCGTAGTAGCCCGACGCGTCGTAGGTCGCGTCGACGGCGAGCTCGCAGCCGAAGGGCGCGCGGAGCCGCCCGCCGACGAGCTGCTCGTACGCCGTTCCGAACGCGCGCTGCGTCGCGAAGCGCACCCAGACGCGCCCGAAGGGCTCCGGGTCCCGCTCGCGCGCCGGGAACTGCGCGGGCGGCGGCGCGGCGCCCGGGGCCGGCTTGCCCCGGGACCGCGGCGAGCCGTCGTCGCCGCGGTCCCGCAGCGCGGACGTCTCGAAGAGCGCGAGCGCGTCGTCGCCGTCGTCGTCGTCGTGCTCGGACGTGCCCGGCCGCGACGGCTCCGACGGGTGGATGAGCAGGGACGAGAAGTGCTGGAGCTCGGAGTCGTCGCCCGCGGAGCCCGGCGCTCGCGCGGCCGCGGCGGAGCCCGACGGCGCCGGTACGTCGCCGCGCGAGTCGAGGCCGCCGCGCGAGCCCGGCCGCGAGTCGAGGCCGGACCGCGACGGCGGCCGCGACGACACGTGGCTCGACGTCGGCGGCGAGCTGTCCGTGGGGCCGACGGACGGGAGGGAGTACGCGTCGTCGTCGCCCGAGCCCCGCGGCTCGAGCGCGCCGTCGCCGCGCTCGAGCACGACGTCGGTCACGGCCCCGTAGGTCGTCGCGAGGAAGCGGCGGATCTGCGCGTAGGCGTCGTGGTGGCCGAAGAAGCCGAAGGGCCACCGCTCCAGGCGGAGCGTCCGCGTGCAGTAGTCCGGGACCCGAGCGGACGCGGGCAAAATCGCGGGCCGCGGCGGCGGCAGCACCGACGGCCAGCCGGCCTCGCGCGTCGGCTCGCGGCTCGTCAGCGGCGTCCAGCGCTGCTCGCCGAGGAACCCGAGGATGCGGTCCGTGCCCGCGGCGCCGAGGACGATGGAGTGCGGCCGGTCCTTCGACGACGGCGCCGACGCGAAGAGGCCGCCGCCGGACAGCGCGTCGTCGCGCGACTTCTGGCGGCTCGACGACGCCTGGCGGCTCGGCGCCGACGCCTGGCGGCTCGACGCGTTGCGGCTCGACGCGCCGGACATGAGCTCGGGCTAGCCCCGCATAGCGGCCGCTGCTGGCCTCGTCAACATTGGTGGTGCCCCGAGCTTGATGTTGAGCAAGCACTTCACCAATATCGTCACACGATGCCTCGCGTACGAAAAGTTTCATCGATGGGCTGCGTTTTGCCGTAGCGTCGGCGTTCGACTCCCGACCGGCGGCCCTCGCCCGCCCCGCCGGCCGCGCGCGCCCGCCGGCCATGGTGCGCCGCTTGCTCGTGCTCTGCGGTGCGCTCCACGCGGGCTGGGGCGACATCATGCTCAGCGGCCAGTGGCGCGAGAACCACTGCGTGGGCAGCCCGAAGCCGCGGTCGACGGTCGTCGCCGTGGCGACTGACAGCGTGAACCTGCTCCCCATCCTCGCGGTCATCAACTCGACGATGTCGAACGCGCGGGACCCGGGCTCCGTCTCGACCGTCGTCATCACGCGCCACGTGCGGCGCCTGCACACGGCCGTGCTCGACTTCCTGCCGGACGCGGACGTGACGATCTGCGGCGGCTTCAGCGATCTGTTGATGCAGCGGCCGTCGCTGGGCAAGTTGATGTCCCTGAGCAACTCGACGCACGTCAAACGGAAGGAGCTCCTGTCGCCGTTCAACTTCGCGGCGTTCTACCTCCCCTACGTGCTCCTCGAGAGCCGGCGCGTGCTGTACCTCGACACGGACGCCATCGTCGAGGGCGACGTCGGCGAGCTCGCGCACCTGGACCTCGGCGGCGCGCCCGCGGCGGCCGTCGAGGACTGCACGCAGAAGGTCTTCAAGTACATCAACTACGAGCTCCTCGAGCGCTACGACTCCGGCGGCCGGTCGAAGCTGGGCCCCATGAACCGCAACGCGCCGCGGCTCTGGAGCCGCTTCGGCTTCACGGCGGACGCGTACTCGAACGAGACGTGCGTCTTCAACCGCGGCGTCGTCCTCTTCGACTGCCCCCGGTGGCGCGAGCTGCGGCTGACGGAGACCATCGAGGATCTCGTCGACGCCTTCGTCGCGTCGCGGGCCAAGCTCTGGCGCGGGGGCATCTCCCAGCCGCCGTTTCTATTGGCGCTCGCGGGCCGCTACTTCAAGCTTGACATGGAGTGGAACGTCCGGGGCCTGGGGCGCATGGACCTGGGCCGCAACGAGTGGCTCCTGCTGGCGGAGTACGCGCGGTCCAAGTACGGCGCGGAGCCGTCGACCTTCGAGCGCCACATGGCGCCGTCGGGGCCCTTCAAGCACACGTTCAACCCGTTCCTGTGCCCGTTCTCCGCGCACGCGAAGATCCTCCACTTCAACGGCGAGCTCAAGCCCTGGGTGCTCACGGGCGCCGAGACGCTCCAGTGGCGGCACACGGGCCTGAACATGAGCCGCACGGCCGGCGGCCGCGAGATCACGGGCACGTGCCCGTTGGCCGCGTGCCCGACGTCCGTCAACGTCACCACGGGCCGGCGCCTCCGGTCCGCCTGCGAGACCTGGAGCGGCGACGCGGCCTTCACGGGGTCGCGGCAGCGCTGGGACCAGCAGCACTACGACCTCCACAAGGCCAAGTGGTCCACGAAGTCCCTCGAGACCGTGACGGACTACTACGTCGCGGCCTGCGTCGCGCGGACGCCGCTCTGCACCTGCGCGTCGGACCTCAGCGACGACTGCGTCACGTCCTGCGCGTCGCTCTGGCACGTCTACGTCGACGAGCGCCTCCACGCGAGCCCCGCGGCCCACAGCGTCCTCTGGGCCAACGACTCCCTCGCCGTGACGCCCAAGCGGCGGCGCCTCGCGTCGTGGCTCTAACGCCGACGCACGTAGGCGCCGCGGCCCCGCGGGGGCGGGGCGACGCCGACGTTCGTGGCGGCGTAGGGCGCGCCGCCGGGCGCCGCGAGCGCCGCGGCGGAGGCGACCCGCCGGTGGTACGCCGCGGCGGAGATCGCGCCGCTCGCCGCGAGCGCCTCGAGGTCGTCCTCCTGCTCGTCGCCGAGGACGAGCGCCTGGAGCTCCGGCGTCGACGCGAGGGGCGCGAAGGCCTCGCGCACGGGACGTCCCGCGTCGCGCCGCGCGCGCTCCGTCTCGAAGACGGCCTCGTGGTCCGACACTTTTTGGTCGCAGTTCAGGCAGGCGTAGTCCTGGGGATTCTTGCGCACGCGCGCGCGCCAGGCCTTGACGTCGAAGTCCTTGCGTCGGGGCAGCCACCACTGGCCGCACTCCTCGGGCCTCGTCGGCGCGTAGCGGAACCGCGAGCAGCCGCACTTGGAGCAGCCGGGCGGCCGGAGGCGCGCGCCGCCGCCCTTGGGCGCGTCGTGGGATTTCAGCGCGTGGCCGCAGAGGCAGGAGGAGTTGCTCTGGATCCGACAGCACTCGCGCTCGTCCGGCGACTGCCAGGTCACGTAGATGCCGCTGGCCATGGCCTCCTCGGCAGCCTTCTGCTCGCTCTTCATCATCGCCGTGCCTCCCGGCGCCGCGCCGTAGGCGCGCACGGCGGACTCGACGTCCTTGGCGTCGCGCGCCTGCCCGCCCGCGTACATGGTTATGCCAGGTTTAGGCCCGCATCGGGCAGCCTTCAAAACTACAAGAACAACTTCAATAACTCTTCAGCGCGGCCGCGTCGAGGGGCTTCGGCGGGTCGAGGAGGCGCTTCGTCGCGTAGGCGCCGTGGTCGAAGAACAGGAAGTCGTGCATGTCCGCGAGCGTCGCGACGCGCGCGGCCGTCTTCGCGTAGGCCGCGAGGCTCGCGGCCTCCCGTCGCACGCGCGCGGCCTCGACGTCCGGCGGGAGCGCGTTGGGCGCCTCGGCGTAGGTCAGCGCGTAGTCCGGCGCCGCGGCGCCCGGCGCCGCGGGCAGCGAGAAGACGTGGTCGAAGATCGCGCGCGTCCTCGGGAGGTGGAACGCGTTGTTGACGACGAGCAGGCTCCGGTAGCCGGCGACGTCCGTGTGCCAGACGCGCAAAAAGTAGGCGTTGCCGATCGTGTCCAGGCTGAAGGCCTCCTCGAGGACGTCCGCCGGCGGCACGTCGCGCTCGCCGATCAAATAGCGCGCGGACGCCGTCGCCTCTTTGGAGTCGAAGCCGCGCGCGTCGCGCGGGTTCGGCTTGTGGGGCGTGCCGCCGGAGAGGCATATGATGCGGGGCTTGGGCGCCCGCGCCGCGTGGTAGAGCTTCGCGGCGAGGTCGAGGCGCGCGACCATGTGCGGCGGCGTCGGGCCCGCGTAGACTTCGGCCTGGCCGCCGCCGGGCACGACGATGGCGTCCGGGCGCCGGCTCCGCCGCGGCCAGCGCGGCAGCCTCGCGGCGACGAGCGTGAGCACCACGCCGACGCCGACGCCGACGAGCATGGCGGGGTTGCCGCGCAGCGCGGGACCGCGGCTCCTCTGCAGCAGCGGGCTCGCGGCGAGGCCGACGCCGACGCCGAGACAGAGGCACTCCATTCGTGGAGCGGTGCTTCGCGAGCGGTGCTTCGACGAGCGCCGCAGCGCACGCGAGCGGCTCGACGCGTCACGAGCAGCGGACGCGGCTCGTCCCACCTTGCACTTGTGGCTACCTTGCCTGCAAGGGCAGAGTGTTGCTGACCTCAAGCAAGCCGGTGGCGTGGGCTGCCTCCGGTGGTCGCGGGCTGCGACACCCGGCCTCCGTCGTTCGCGGCCGCTGCGGATCCGGCCCGTGCGCGACCGCCGCGCGCTCGCCGGCGGCGGCTCGGCGCGCGGTCGTCCGGCCGCGCGCGATGGCGGCGCAGATGTCGCTGCGCCAGGCCGGGAAGCTGCTGGCGCTCGTGGCGCTGATCGTCCTCGCCGTGCGCGCCGTGCTGAACCAGCCCGCCGCGTCGGCGCCGGCGCCGCCGGCGTCGCACGTCTTCGGCGCCCCGGGCGCGGGCCGGGCGCCGCCGGCGGCGAGCGCGACGGGCGCGCTCGAGTTCGTCGGCGCGGTCGCCGAGGCCGCGTCGCGCGCCGAGGCCGCGGCGGCGGCGCGGTCCGCGGCCGTCGCGGAGAAGCTGCGGGCCGAGCAGGCCCGGGCCGCCGTCGCGCCCGCGCCGCGGACGCCGTCGAAGGCGGCGGACCCGCCGGACACGCGATGCGCGATGCTCGCGAAGATCAGGGCAGCAAAAGAGAGCGAAATTCCCGACTTCAAAGGCTCATATCTCGGCCGTTTTCCACTCGTTTCGGCTGATTTTTGGACGAGCGATCATCTATCGGAACGGTCTCGAAGCGTGGATGCTTTTTCCGGAACGCGCGCGCGCGGAACACTCACGTTGAAGCGACGTTGAATCACTCTTGTGCTGCCCAGGCGAAGATGCCCGCGCTGCCGGCGACGCTCAAGGCCGAGTACGACGCCCTGAGCTGCGACGGCGTACTCAAGACGCTCGCGGCGGCGCTCGCCGCCGCCGACGCCGCCGCGCCGAAGGCCGACGGGCCTCTGGGTCCGAGGGACGAATGCCGCGCGATGATGGCCAAGCACAGCGTGGCGCCGGGCTCGTCATGGGGCAGCCTCGGCCCCAACGGCCAGCGGCGCTGGGGCAGCCTGCGCTGCGACGGCCTCGTCAAGGGCGCCAAGAACACGCCGTCGAAGGCCGCCGCGGACCGCGCGCGGAAGTCGACGCTCCCCTCGAGCAGGCAGGTCACGCTCGAGACGTGCCCGAAGTCGACGGAGCCGCTGCCCCTCGTCGCCGTCTGCTGCGGCACGACGACGCGCGGCAAGGGCGGCTGGATCACGCCGCGGCCCGACGCCTTGGAGGAGCTCGCGGTCTTCGACCACCTGCTGCCGTCCTTCGTGCGCACGGTGGACTGCGGCTTCCGCTACGCCGTCGTCCTCGGCTACGACGTCGGCGACAAGTTCTGGGACCTCGGCGACGGCGCGACGCTCGCGCGCGCGTGGTTCGACGAGAACGTCAAGAGCGTGCTCGCGGCCGCGAACGTCGAGGCCGAGCTCCGCTTCGCCGTCGTCGACAACAAGATCAAGAAGCCGGGCCCCGTCTTCACGGCCATCACGCGCCACGCCTACTACGAGGCCAAGGCCGACTACATCTACCGCGTCAACGACGACACGGAGCTCGCGACGCGGTGGGCGAAGCACTTCGTCGCCGCCCTCGCGACCATGGACAACGTCGGCGCCGTCGGGCCCATGTGCAAGCAGGGCAACCGCAAGATCCTCACGCACGACTTCACGCACCGCAAGCACATGGACATCTTCGAGGGCACGTACTACCCGCCGGAGCTCAGCGACTGGTGGATGGACGACTGGATCTCCGGCGTCTACGGCGCGGACCGCACGCTCCGGGGCGAGGTCGTCGAGGTCGTCCACCACACTGGCAAGCACGGCCAGCGCTACGGCGTCGACAAATCGTCCGCGGCGCCCGCGTCCTTGTTCTTTTTTCGCATCGCGGCGCTTCCCTCGCCCGGCGCGCGCCGGCACGCGTGTCCGCCGCCGGGGCGCCGCCGGGGCGCCTGTCCGCCGCTGGGGCGCCACCGGGGCGCCTGCTCGTCGCCCACGCGCGCCGATGTCGCCGGGGCGCCTTCTCGCGGCCCTTTACGCGCCGACGTCGCAGGCACGCGGGGCTGCTCAAGGGCCTCCTCGCCGGCGGGAGCAAGAAGATCCAGGCCTACGTCGCCAAGTCCAACGCCGGGATCGCGCAACCGCCGCGGGGCTTCAGCCGCTTCCGGGCGAAGCTGCGCCGGTAAGTCTACAGTGGAGTTTTTAGGATCTGCGCGTCGGCCACTGCGCGTTTCGAACGGGGGCGGCTTACTTGAGCTCGACCTTGGCGCCGCCCTCCTCGATCTGCTTCTTGATGTCCTCGGCCTCGTCCTTGGACGCGCCCTCCTTGAGGGCGATGGGCGCGGACTCGACCATGGTCTTGGCCTCCTTGAGGCCGAGGCCCGTGATCGTGCGGACGATCTTGAGCACCGCGATCTTCTTGTCCGCGGGCACCTCCGTGAGCATGACGTCGAACTCGTCCTTCTCCTCGGCCGCCTCGGCGCCGCCGCCCGCCGCGCCGGGCGCCGCCATCATCATGCCCGCCATGGGCGCGGCGGACGCGTCGACGCCGAACGTCTCCTCGATCTTGGAGACGAGCTCCGACGCCTCGACGAGGGTGAGGGACTTGATGTCCTCGAGGATGTCGTCGACCTACGAGGGGGCAGCGGGTTTGTGGGGCTGCGGGGCGCGCGGGGAGCCGCGACCGGCGGGGCCGCTTCGGCGAGGGACCGCGGCGGCTCTCCGGGGCCGGAGAACGTCGGGAAAAAAGGCGCGCACCTTGGCGGGCATCGCGACAGACGTCGGCCGGCTGACCGAGGGGGCCATGAAGGCGGAGGCGGTGGCGGCGAGGGCGAGGAGGCGGAACATGGTTGCTGTGACGACCGAGACGGGCGACTGAGTGGTGCTTCAACTCAATGAACGCGGCCTTGTCTCCTACTAGTAGATGCGCGGGCCGACGTCGCGGTACTTGGCGATCATGATGATGCCACAGTCGTGGCGCCGCCCGAAAGCCTGGGGACGTAGAGTGGCACGTCCCGCCGACCCAGGGATTGCGAAAGCAAGGGACTCGACCTAGCCGCGCGCTGGAGGCGTCGCACGAGCTCGCGTCGCGGGCCCGGCCCGGGGAAGTTCGTTCTCGCCGGGGTCTCCGGCAGCGCTCGCCCGCGCGCACGATCGACCCCACCAGCCTTACCAAGGACAACGACCACGTAACTGACGCCCGACGCCGAGGACGAGGCTCGCCAAGGCCGCCGGGAGGACCCATCCTCGAGGGCTCCTGACAAGCGCCGCTGCAGACCCCAGGCGCGAGAAGAGCGCTGCCACAAGCAGCATGGCCGCATAACCTCAGGCCGACCGCTCGCGCGCGCAGCGGCAATGTTCCGCCACGCGCGCACCGCCGTGCGCTTCTTCGCGAAGAAGAAGAAGAAGCAGCGACCATCGGACTACCGCGCCGTCGTCGGCCTCGAGGTGCACGCGCAGCTCCTCACGGAGCGCAAGGCCTTTTGCAAATGCCTGAACTGCAGCGACGGCGCGCCGAACGCGCACACCTGCGGCGTGTGCCTCGGCGAGCCGGGCTCGTTGCCCGTGGCCAACCCGGAGATGGTCGCGCTCGGCGCCGTCGCCGCCGTCGCGCTGCGGTGCGAGTCCGTCGCGGACGACGTGACGTGGGACCGGAAATCCTACTTCTACCCGGACCTGCCCAAGGGCTTCCAGATCACGCAGAAGCGGTCGCCGCTGGCCGTGGGCGGGTCCGTGGAGATTCTCGGCGACGCGGACGCGCGGGGCGGCGGAGAAAACGTAGCGATCGGCGTCGAGTCCGCGCACCTCGAGGAGGACAGCGCGAAGCTCTCCTACAAAGGTGATACCTTTGACGTCGACTTCAACCGGTCCGGCTGCGCTCTGGTGGAGATCGTCTCGAAGCCGGAGCTGCGGAGCGGCGAGGAGGCCGCGCGCTACGCGCGGGAGCTCCAGCGGACGCTGCAACGCGTCGGCGCGTCCGACGGCGACATGGCCGCGGGCTCCTTCCGCGTGGACGTCAACGTGAGCGTGGCGAAGGACGGCGACGTCGCCCTGCGAGAAAAGGTCGAGATCAAGAACCTGAACAGCTTCAGGGCCGTCCGCGGCGCCGTGGACCACGAGGTCGAGCGGCAGGGCAGCACAAGAGAGCGAAATTCCCAACTTCAAAGGCTCCGATCTCGGCCATTTTCCACTCGTTTCGGCTGATTTTTGGACGAGCGATCATCTCTCGGAACGGTCTCGAAGCGTGGGTGCTGTTTCCCAAACGCGCGCGAGCGGAACACTCACGTTGAAGCGACGTTGAATCGCTCTTGTGCTGCCCAGGTCGAGCGGCAGGGCCGCGCGTACGACGCCGGCGAGACCGTTTTGCCGGAGACGCGGTCCTGGGACGGCAAGAAGACGGCCGTGCTGCGGGCCAAGGGCGGCGCCGAGGCCTATCGCTTCGCGCCGGAGCCGGACCTGCCGCCGCGGCCGTTCTCGGAGTTCGATCGACCGGACGCGGCCAGCGTGCTCGCGGCGACGCCGCCGGCCGCGCGCGCGGCGCTGGAGGCCCTCGGGGCGTCGCCCGCCCAGGCGCGCGCCCTCGTCGACGCCGACGCCGACGGGGCCGCCGCCGCGTTCTTCGAGGCCGCGGTCGCGCTCGGCGCGCCGGCGGACGCCGCGGCGACGTGGCTCTCGGGCGAGGTCGCCGGCGCGGCCGACAAGCTCGGGCTCGCGACCTAC